GATCCAGGGACTCCAGGATCATGACCTGAGCCGAAGGCAGTTGCTTAACCAACTGAGCCACCCAGGCGCCCTCAACCTCTGTCTCCTTATCTGTGGAATGAGGCTCATACTGTAACGCACCCCTTAAAATTGCGGTGGAGAGTAAATGAGCCTATTTACGAAATACTTGGCCAGCATCTGACGGACAAGTCCCATCACTTCTATCTGGGAAATTGATGTAGAAGTGGCTGCTATAGTCTCATCAACTTATCCAGTTTTCCATCCAATTATCCAAGCTTCCTTTTATATACAAGGAGGAAAATGGTTTTCAAAAAATTAAAAACAAACAAACCAAAAAACTACTTAAAAAAAAAAAAAAGAAGGGAAAAAAACAAGCCACAAGGGACACCTGGGTGGCTCCATCGGTTAAGCGTCTGTCTTCGGCTCAGGTCATGATCTCAGGGTCCTGGAATCGAGTCTCACATCAGGCTCCGAGCTAGGCAGTGAGTCTGTTTGTCCCTCTCCCTCTGCCCCTGCTCCCCATGCACGCACAAGTGTGTGCTCTCTCTTTCTCAAAAAAATAAATAAAATCTCTTTTAAAAAATTAAAAGAACAGTTCCTTCCATTGCTACCTCCTGTGTTCTGAGAAACTGTTAGAAAAGTAAGTTGATAATTTATCAGATGTTCTAAACTTTAGCAAAAGGAGAATTCCAGCTTATGTCTGGGTAGGTGGAATTCCCCGTGAAAACCCTGTTTTGTGGTTTTTGTGATATGTGTTAGCGAAGCATCCTCTGGAAGTTTCCTCTGGCCACGGCGGGGGTGGAGCGGGGTCTTGGGTCTGTGGCTCTCCTTATTAGTCCTGACCCAAAAGCTCTCCACACTGATGGACAGACCTTCTTTGCGGGAAACGCAACACACTTTTCCCTTCCTGCTAGGTTTGCATCTTTTTAACAACATACAGCCTTCCATTGGCACTGCCTTGTTATGAATCCCATCCAAGTGACAGTGATGCTTATGAAATTGTATTTTGCTTCTTTCAGTAACATGAAAATCTTGCTTTATCCATTCCCTATACCATTTGCATTGGGAGATAGACACATAAGGCCATAAAGTTCTGGTCCAGCTGATTCTATTTTTGCTCAAGAATAATGACACTGTCTCTATTATATTGTTTTGGACTATTTCACAAAGGCGGTTTTCCATTTTTTCCTCAACTATCAGTGGTGCTAAGTCAACTGAGACTACGCTAAACCAGAGGGGGTGGGGAGAATATTGACGTGCATAACAGAGAAGTCCAGGGGTAGGGTTAGCTTCAGGTCCGGCTAACTCCAGGTGCTGTAATATTTTCAGGAATTTCTCTCTCTCTCTGTCCTCAGGCTCAGCGTTCTGCTATGTTGGCTTCATTCTCAGTCTCATTAAAGCATGGTAGCATTCAACAGTTCCAAACATATAACTGACCATCTTAGCCGCTCTACTAGAGAAAGAAAGCACACCTCATTCCCAATCATCTGAGCGAAGTGCCAGCGACAACTCTCATTGGCCCAGAGAGGATCATGTTGCCACCTCTGAACCAGTCATTGAGATTTTGGTAGACTTCTTTTGGTGCCAAAGGATAGGATTGGCCCTCTTTGGCCACATAGATTATGAGTTGAAGACGGATGGCTTCCCTTCAAAGCTAAAGAGGCTGTTGAAAGAAGATGACAAATGGATGCTAAGCAGAACACCAGCAGTCCACTCTGCATCCCATAACAATCTTTTTTTTCGATGCCCTTTAGGGCCATCGGCCAAACACATTCTTTCCTAACTTGGTAGCACTCTCTGTCCTTTGCCAGTAGCCTCATATTCCACTGTGTTGGCCTCTTCCCCGGGGAAATAAAATCCTCCTCAACACCGTCAACGTCACCAGCTATTTACTCCCAATATCCCCTCCTTTCTCTTCCAAAGTCACAGCCAGCCATCCGCTGGATGAAAAGATGGAACACCACCCATATCCCCAATCCTTCAGAGTCCGTCTCAGAGCTGTAAAACTTCCAGAGACACAGTTCAGGCTTCTTTTGACCACTCTGTTTATCTACACATGGATCAGAAGTAGGTGATGGCTGGAGATTCTGTGCAAATATTCCATCACATCCTGTATTTGTGCTCCAGAAACACGTGCCCCTCCAGTGCGCCTGGTCTCAGAAGGGAATCTCCTCATTCTGGGAATGCATAAGTATTGTTGTTGGGTTTTTTTTTCCCACCCAGCTGTGGCTGCTTCTCTCAATATATGTACCTATGGTATCTGGCATGGTGCTGAGGACACATCAGATAGTCAATGATGCATGCCCTGGTTCCATTCTTGCCCTACCCAACTGCCCTTAAAAATACCAAAAACAGGGGCACCTGGGTGGCTCAGTTGATTAAGCATCTGACTCTTGGTTTTGGCTCAGGTCATGATCTCAGGGTCGTGCGAACGAGCCCCACATCAAGCTCCATGCCCAGTGGGGAGTCTGCTGGAGATTCTCTCCCTCTACCCCTCCCCCTGCTCATGCTCACTAGCTCTCTCTCTCAAATAAATAAATAAATCTTAAAAGATAAAAAAACAACAAACAAACAAAAAAACTAAGTTAAAGATGGAATCAGGTAAGAGGTACTGGGACTTTATCTGTAATGTATTTTTCAAGCTAGGTGGTAGGGTATGTGAGTGCTTATTGTATTCCTGGCTAGTCTTCTTTTTTTTTTATTATTATTATTATTTTTTTTAAAAGGTTTTCTTTTTCTTCTTTTTTTAAAGATTTATTTATTTATTTATTTATTTGAGAGAGAGAGAATGAGAGAGAGAGTGAGCATGAGAGGGGGGAGG